AAAAAAAAAAAAAAAAAAAAAAAAAAAAAGAAAGAAAGAAAGAAAATGGACTTTTAAATATATGCACACACTTATATATTAGATTGCATTATAAATGGTAGAACTATAACTGGGTTTTGTGCAGCCCACATTCCATGAAACATGACCAAACCATGCAGGGTGACATCCACCTGCCCACCTGCAGAAGAGGGAAGTGTCAGGGGGTTTACCTTGCTTTGCTCTGGTGACATCCACTGGTGCCTGGCCTGTCTTGTTCCCCCAGAAAGCTTCCACGTCTAGCTCCGAGTGAAAGCCTAAACCCCAGGCCTCTCCTTCAGCTGGAGAATGATTTGTCCTGGAGAGTTCTGGATTTGTTTATGCTGAAGGCACTATCGCAGTTTTCTAGAGCTCTGAGCAAGGGCCGCTGGGCAGGAGACAGTGTATACATTCCAGGGCTAAGAATAGCCGCATATGTACTTTCCACTGTTATGACATGTGACTTTCCAGTTGCCTTTTGCAGTCATCTGAGGGCCTGCAGGGCTGCTGGCGCATGCCCACATGCCTTGTTCCTTTGGCAAACGTTTACAGCGGCATAAATAGATCGGAGGTTCCTCTATGTAAGGCTCTGCTGCCCGCTTGAGTCCTTTGTCCTAACTGCCTGGGAACTCTAGGTGACTGGAAACAGGTGGCTGGGACCTTTGCAAAATCACTGAAGATTTCTCTGGGCCACGATGAAGGTGTTGGATGGTTGCAAGGGAAGCCAGAGCGTGAGTCCCAGGTGCAGTTTAATGGGTCTCTGTTTCCTCTCATGAGCCTGGCAGGATCTTGGAGAGAGCTGTGATGGCCTTCCCTGGGCTCCATGTGGATTCCACGACAAACATCTGTCACTGTTCTTCCCTGCTATGAAGCGCCCTGGGGCTTGCACCCTTGTGAGAGCCCAGCCTCTGTAGGGCCTCCTTTCCTGGAAGCTTCCCATGGGGTGACTGAGCTCCATCTGTCAGCCTGCACAGGGCTGCCTGCTTAACCCCTCGTGCCTGAGAGCTTAGCGTGAGTCTTCCATCCTCCTTGTCCATTTTTTCTTATCAAACAGGCCTGAGCTAGAGGCAGGAGGCACAGCATACTGCTCCCAGAGAGAGAGAGAGAGGGAAAGAAGAAGAAAAGGAAAAGAAAGGTGGAGGAGGACGAAGTGGAGGGAGTGGAGAATGGTGCTGGTGACGGATGGGGTGGAGGCAGCGTGCTTACGGGAACACGTGGGAGACCTCAGTCCCGCAGGGATGGGCGAAAGGGATGCTGCTCCCACCTCCATGTGCCAGCCCCAGATGGCAGGGCAGCTGGCTTTCTCTTCGCATGTCTTGTGCAGACTACTGTAAGGGCCTCTCGGTGACAGTTTTCTCCCTTGCTCCTAGTCTCTCTCCCTCTGAAGCCTCTGCCCTGTATCACCAGAGTAGCCCTGGGGCAGAAAGTCAGAAGGTGCCAGCCTTCCCCAACATCATGTCTGCTGATGGCGTGGCACGTGTCCAGGGCCTCTTAGTTCCTAGAACCCCGTTTCCTCCCACTTAGACATTCATTGTCTAGTTCCACCAGATGACTTGGGGTTGCTGTGTGTATGTGGACTCTGCTGGGGAGGGGACCCCAGGGCAGGGTAGAAGGGGCTTGAACCTGCAAAGTCGTGCTGTAGAGCCTGATGCGTAAACCGCTATGCTATCTCTCCAGCTAGGGCAGGGCAAAAGGAATCTCGCACTCCGGGCTGCAGATCAGTGTCTCATTGTCGGGCGCTCGTTGAAATCACACGCGAGTCAGATGGTGCTTAAGCTTCTCTTTATTCTTCTCTCCCCCGAACTTCTCTCCGGAACTACTACTTAACCGAACTACTTCACCGAACTACTCCCCGAACTCCTCCGCCGAACTACCCCGGACCTTCCGTAACATCCTCTTTTATACTCCCCAGGACCAATCAAATAAGGTTGCGTGTCTTAAACCGGCCAATGGGCAAGTGCCTGGTTGTAACAGCTCTTAGCCAAATAGAATGCGCCCGCAGAGGTTAAGCGTAGCTCTGGAAATCCCCCGTGGGGGAGGGCAAGCATGTGGGGCGCCGGCGCCCAACACTCATGCCCAAGCATTTCATATGGGCAGGGTCAGAGAGAATATCCAAAGCGTGTCACCGAGGCCTGGAACTAAGGGAGGGGTCAAAGGCCCAGCGGCCCAGGGAGACAGGGCCCGAGGCAGGAGAGTGGAGCTGGGTGCAGAGGCCACGCTGCTGATGTTTCTGGTCTTCTGAGCCACGCTAGAGACATAGGAGGGGAGCCAAGGGCCTCAAAGGCTGGCGGCTCTTGGCTTAGTACTCCATCGCTTCACACATGCTCTTGGAAACAGTTCTGGAAGTGCTTTTTCAAGAGCGTCTGTACAAGGAATCATCGAAACCCATGTGAACGTGGCTTCGGAGCACAGCGTGCGGCAGGAAGGCAGCCTTGCGAAACACTGCGGCGTGTCCTCGGCCACCTTGTTCACAGATCCGGCACTGCGCAGCCTCTGGCTTCTTCGTGAAGTTAAAGTGAACGAACCTAAAAGACAAGCTTTTCGAGCTGATTCAAGAAATGGAGGCAAAGGCTGGTGAGATGGCTCAGTGGTCTAAAGCACCTACTTAGAACAAGCTAAGCAAAGCACAGGGACCGTAGTTCAATCCCCCAGCACCACATGCCAGCCAGCCCCGCCTCCTGGTGGGCTGAGCTGGCCACACACACACACACACACACACAGAAAAAAAGAAAGAAAAGAAATGGAAGCAAAGGGGCCGGGGAGATGGCTCAGTGGAATAAGTGTATTCCACAAAAAAAAAAAAAAAAAAAAAAAAAAAAAAAAAAAAAAAATGGAGGCAACCACAGTGGAACAATGAAAGGAGGTCACAGAGAAGACTAGCAGACCTGCTTCAGAGAGTGGCAAGAGGCTGGGGAGATAGCTCGGCGGTCTAAGCGCCTCCAGGTTCGATCCCTGGTATCCCGCACCATGCTGCATAGTGAGACCCTGTACCAAATACATGAAATGTTTTAAATTATAAAATATAAAAAAGTGGCAAGAGCGAGGAATAAGTGTGCTGGAGCTGAGGGCGTGGCCTCTTGAAGGGATTAGCAGTGATGCTTTTTATTATAATAGCTTGAAACTATTTAAACATCCACCATAGTTTGCAGTTACACCTTGTACAAATTGCTTTGCATGAGGTTTTGGGTCGGGAACTGACCCGAGGCCCCTAGAAGCCAAGGCAAGGGAGAAGGAACTTCCTCCGTGCTCCACAGTGCTTGTAACATTCCTCTTCCAGCTACTGGCAGGGGGCCTGGGAGGGCGTGAACATAACCCTGTCCTATCGGGCGTCTGGATTGTTCCCCTCCACCCCCAACTAATCCAGCCGAGCAGTGTTGATGTCTGACTTACTTGAATAAATTTCTCCATTCTAATGTCTAGAAAAGCAGCCCCTGTTTCATTAGCCTGGCCTTCTAGGAGAATTCTGGCTCTCCAGGAAATGTCAGAAAAGGACAAAGAAAGCCTCGGTGTTCAGCTCCTAGACACATACAACCCCAACCCCCTGCCAGAGCACGGCTCCCACCGCGTGCCCCCAGCCAGTGGCTTCCCACAGCCATCTCTCCGAGGGTTCTATCACAGCGCGCCTTAATTTTTATTAGGAAGGTGCTTTGTCTTAGGGCCTGAGTGCACGGTGATTTAAAATAAATCAGGACAGGGCTGGCCAAATAGCTCAGCGGATTAAAGCGCTTGCAAGCAGGCTCAGGGGCCGGTTTGATCCCAGCTTGCCTGCAGGCCCCGCCCCCAGGGCGAGTTGAGAAGAGAGTTGAGGGCGGGCCGGTGGCACATGCCTGTAACCCCAGCTCTTGGGAGGCTGTAAACAGGCGGATCACTACGAGTCCCGTTTAGTGAGACCCTGAACACCCTATAGACCCTTCCCTAAAATTCAAAAATAAATAAATAAATAAATAAAAAATTAGGACACTCAGCTCCGGTATTTGCTGAGAAAAGTCAATGTCACAGGGAATCAAGGCCCAGACTCCAGGGGCAGAAGGGCAAGGGACGATCTGGGGATTTCCCCTTGGTATTTGTGTAGGTTTGGGCAAGAACCTTATAGTTTTCCAGCCTCAATTTCTCCAACTGTTAAATGGGAAGTGATTCATACGAGGTCTCCAGTGAAGTGCCTGGTACCTGCGTGTTCTGTCACTGCTCTGAGATGCCAGCAGGCCCTGGTGTCTGCGTTCCAACGTCTAAACTGGCTTCCTATGTAATGCGGCCAATCACTTTTCCTGGGGCAGTCGCTGTGCTCCTTGGTGTCTGCTCACTGTTCAGGAGTTCTGGGTTCTAGGCTGAGCCCTGTCATGGTCTGGCTGTGTGTCCTTGGACAAGTGGCCTAACCTCTCTCTGCTCACTACCTCATGGAGCGTTGACGATATCAGCCCATGGCTCTGTGGCCAGAGGGGTCCTGTGTGAGCTGTGGTCCATCAGGGGACTGAGAGGGGCCAGACCTAGGTGAGGAAGCCTGCTCAGAGCTCCTGCGTGGCTCTGGCCTGAGGCCAGGCGCAGGCAGAGGAGAAGTGCCGGCCAGTGCCAGCTGGAGCCTTTATTGTTTTGCCCTGTTGGGTAGATTCAGGAAGGCTTCGCTTTCCTCCCAGTTTTGGGCCAGCAAGGCAGGACCCTCAGACTCAGGGACTCAGGAGGATGTGGCTTTCTGCTGCCGGCTGTGCTGTACTTAGGTTCCTGGGGGGGGGGGGCGGGCAGTGTGACAGCTACTTCTGGGGAGCCGCAGCGCTCACTGTCCTGTGTGCACACAGGAGCCCTCTGGGTGCGCACGCCCTGGCCCTCTGCGAGGAGCAACCTCACACTGATGAAGTGGCCTTGGCTGTGCCAGCTCTGGGAAAGGGGGCCTGCGAGGGGACATGTGCACATATAGGCCTGTGGCAGCCACTCGCTCTCACTGTCAGACCACTCTGTGCTGGGGCTGGGGAGCTTCTGGGTCCCCCTCGGCAGATGCAGTAGAGACACAGGTGGACCCCTGTGATTTTAGTTCCCTGGATCATTAAAGCCTGCGTGTGAATTTTTAAATTTCTTTATAGTCACCCTCTATAGTCACAGGTCCTGCACTACAGATTCAGTCAATGAAAATGAAAAAAATCTGAAAGGAATTGCATCTTACTGAACAGGTACGGACTTCACCTTATCCCATGTCCCATACAATCTAGCAACTATTTGCAAAGCACTTATGTGGTTTTAGGTAGTATAAGTCATATAGAGAGATGGTTTAAAGTGTGTAGGAGGGGCTGGTGAGATGGCTCAGTGGTCTAAAGCACCTACTTAGAACAAGCTAAGCTAAGGGAACACGGTTCAATCCCCAGCACCACATGCCAGCCAGCCCCGCCCCCTGGTGGGCTGAACTGGCCACACAC